GAAGATGAATTGATCAAAGTTCAAAAAAAAAAAAGACTGATTGATTCATTGATCAATTTGGTAATAAATTGTGTTACCAAATGTTGCCAATAGCACTTTCAGCAACAGCAGTGGCAACAACAGAAAGCAGAAGCAGTAGTCAATTTGCTGTAGTCAAATTATCTGAAGGTTAAACCATAAAACATTAGGCCTATAGGGGTAATGTTGAACATTGTATAGCAGAAATCAAATAACTGATACTTCAGTATCCAATTTCGTTGTTTTTTTTCTTTCAAACTGATCGTAGAAAGTCAATTGCAACAATTGTAATAATCACTAATTTTTTTTTTGCATATTATCAATGATTATTGTTAAATAGGGTGTTTTATTTTCAGATTTTAATGATCAAAAAAGTTTACTGCTACTAATCTATTGAAAATAAGAGTAATAGAAAAAAAATTGGTAATAGTATTATAAACATATAACTGACTGTCAACTGTAATTTAATTTTTATTTGTTTTGCTTAATAAAAACGTTCCTTTTTTTTTTTGGTATAATTGTTGACCTTGTCAAAAACATTGAAATTTTTTCTCCTTCTTTCTCTTTTTTTTCTTGCTATATCAAATTAACTACAAAAAAAAAGATATATTCAAAGATCTAAAGATTTGTTTATTTTTTGTAATGTTCAATGATACGCTAACCAAATACAATAGCATTTTTAAACTTTAATAATAGTTTAAGGTGCTATAAAATTCCCAGTAAAGCATAGAAAAACAAATGAAAATAAGAAAACAACAATAACAATCAAAAAAAGAAGAAACAGTAGCGACTTTTATGATTAAAGTTAAACCCAATTTTTTGACTAAAAATAACTGTAAAACAAATAAAGTTGAAACAACTTTTTAAAATCAATTGTTTACCGTTTTTTGTTCTTTTTTTTTTTGTATAAAATTTTAAAGTATTTTTTTGGTTGCTTATAATAAGTGGCCAAAAGATAAACTTAAAAGATAAAGTAGTTTTTTTTGTTTTCCGATAAGCTGTCCTTTGATCCATCGCCATTGCCTTCACCAATGCCACCGCCATCATTGTTAAAGGCGTCGTCGTCGTCGTCGTCGTCGTTGTCGTCATCGTTGTCATCAACATCAGCACTGTCGCCAGCATCTTCTTCTTGATGTTCAGTACATTTTGAAGATTTATTTGTGCAAAAAAAAAAAAAAAAATCCTAGTCTAAAGTCTCTTTAGCATATATACATTACGCAGATAAAAGTACATGGCAGCTTTTTGTGCATTCAACCAAAACTAAGTGCTTCATTTTTTTTTTTTTTTCAGTCAAATATTCCTAATGTTCTTTGCTTTCTTTGCACTAAACTATAAGTTGAAAAAAGAAGAAGAAAAAAAAAAGAGAAAGAGAAGAAAAAAAAAAAAGAAAAACTAAGAAAGGCCAAATCTGTTGTTTGTCCAGTAGATAACCGGATAATTTTTTGTAACCAAAAACCAGTAATGGTTTTAAACTCAGCATTACTGATAGGGCACAATTGATTTAAAGTGGTATTCACATCCGCAGACAAACAAAAACTGTACAAAAAAAAAATTGTTGTAGCCAATATTCAGTAATGGTTAACAGTAATGGCTAACCGTTGTTGTTGCTAAAGTTTATAGACAAACTAAAATCTTCTCATACAAATAGACTGTTATTGTTCATCAAAATTAGTTAACAGTTTCCGACTTTCTATGAGGGAAAAAGAGAAGAAGAGGAGGAAGAAGAAGTAAAAGAAGAAAGGAAGAAATTTTTACTGGTCTATAATATAGCTTATTCATAATTTTTAGTTTCTTACTTCTTAGCTTTATTTTTTTTTTTTTTTTTCTAGAATTCTAAAATAAACAAATTTTTTAAAACTGTCACCGTGTTGGTAACACATAAATAAACTAACAGCAGCACTTTTTGACAATGTAATGTTGTATAGTTTCTACCTTTTTTTTTTTTTTGCCACTTTTTATTTTCTTTCATCCAGATTGATGTATCCTCCTCATAGAACTAACTGTTCAGATATATCTTTTGTTCTGAACCGCTATATATATATATTTTTTTATATTTATGCAGATCCAAACATCTGTAAGAAAATGATGAATTTGTTTTTTTTTTTTTGAATAATCAAACAGCAACAGGTTCAAGCAGTAAAATGCAAGACATCGGAAGTACTGCACATCTGATGAAACCCCTTATAAATGTGTAGCCAAAACTTTTTGAAGCAGATACTTTTGAGGGTTCAACCTAACTAACATAAGTCATCAACGATTACTGCTGGTAGCTCTTTTTTTTTTTCAAGAACTATATATAAATGATTTTATCTAGTTAGAATTCAACTAAAACATAGCAAAAATTATGCTTCTTCTTTTCCTATCAGCATCAAAACAGGATTGATCTGTCGTCTCTGAAACACCGCTAACATTTTTTTGCTTTATCTTATCAAAAAAATGGAAAAAAAAACTTTTTTCCTTCACTTATTCATTTATCATTGAAAAATGTTTTTGCTTTTTGTTTTCCACTCTTTCTGTTTCTGGTTTCTTCATTTTTTTTTTCACTCGTAATTGCTTAAAGAACTGTTGACTTTCAAAATATTTACATCAACAGTTCCATACTAAGCTTTTTGCAGTTTTTCAAATAAATTTACTGATCATCTAAGTTGACTTTTCTGGCTGATTTTCCTTTTGCTTACGTAATTTGATTAAACATCTTTTGAAATGCAAAAAAAAAAAAAAAAAAACTGTTTAGGTATTTTAACTGCCACAATTCAAAGTCAGAAACGTTCAAATACCATCGTTTGTCAACTTCTCAGTTAAAAATTTCTTAGAACATCTCTGATGAATGACATTTCCCCCACATTTCCTCTCCTCCCGCTCCGTTCTCCAAATCGAAAAGAAAAAAATTCCCAGAGTTTTTTTTTTTTTAAATGGATTTTCAACAAAATTATAAGATAGTTTTTGGAATTCAGTCTGTTTATACACAATTTAAAATTATTGGTACCAAAGAAAACTTGAGCACTTCAATTGTCTTTGTACGCTGACGTCGACAGCTATTCTGCGATCACAGAATCGATGCTTAATGTTTGAATAAAGACTTTTTGATTCTTTGGCTTACAAATAATTAAACCTTTTAGAAGTTCAAATATGGTTTGAACCGTATTTTATAGTAAGATTAATTTAGTCAGGTAGTTTTTTTTTTT